CTGAGATTATAATAAACATGGTCACACCATAAGTCAAGTAAAAATTAGGACAAGGAATGCTCTGAAGGCTGGTTAGGTCATCCCAAGAGCATTAGAAATGGCTGACCCTTAACAATATGTACAAAATATAAAATTCATATAAAAATACAAACAGATTTTTCCTTTTTAAAGTACTTTTAAGAAAAAAAAGGGCCTTGCAAGTTTTGGTTCTTTCTCTTCCCCATGTTGCAAATTAATGTTGTGGGTTTGGTTTGGTGGTGGTAAGTATATATCAATTGCAGGTGGTGCTGTCCAAGGTGGGCAGGCGGGACTCTCTACTAAATGATGACCATGGATAGGTTCTATGACTTGAAGTGGAAAGTAAAGAGGACACAGAGGCATTTCATTTTTTCTCTTAAATTTAACTTCTCCTTTTTGGCTGTCTAGTCATCCTCTTTGGTCTTCTGCTTCTTGGTGTCACCACCACCATACTCATCATTTTCAGGTGCTCATTTGCCCGTAGCTGCCTCAGCCTCATCTTCATCACCATCCTCTTCTTCATGATCACTTTCTTCCTCTTCCTCTACGCCCACCTTATTCCTCCTCATCTACCGCACTGTCAGCTTCCTGTTCCCCATCTTCCTTGTTACCATTCCAGTTAGTTAGCAGGGGCATTTCTTACATTCTCTGCTTCCTCTGCCACCTCCTTCAAGACCTTGGTGGTGATCGCAGAGCTAGTGTTCATAGCCATGTCTAAAATGGTGGGCCAATGCAGTGATCCAATGCAGCAGATTCCAAGAAAGTGTGAGTTTGAGGACTCTGGTGAGAAAGCTTCCGGAGGCTGTGGTGGCTGGCAGAGGAGGAAGAAGAGGAGGCAGAAGAAGGGGTGGAGGAAGAAGAGGAGGAGAAGGAAGAGGAGGAGAGAAAAAAGGAGGCAAGCAGTGTACATGGCAGCAGTGAGTGAGGAGCCGGACCAGGAACATTGCAAGGATGGTTTTTTAGAGTAGCCAGTGAAGTGCACCATTTACATTTCACTCTTTTCAGGAAATTCTCATCTATTCCAATTTTCCTTAGATTAGGGATAGATTTTGTCAAATGTCGTTTCTGCATCAAATGCTAAGATCATATGGCTCTTGTTATTTGTTTTGTTAATATGGTGAATTACGTTGACTGCTGTAGTTTTTTTTATGGTGAACCATTCATGCATACCTGTTATGAATCCCACTTAGTCATGGTGAATTACTTTTTGATGTGCTTTTGGATTCTATTGGCTAGGATTTTGTTAAGGATTTTTGTATCTATATTCATGAGATATGTTGGTCTGTAGTTTTCTTTTTTGGTATTATCTTTGCCTGGTGGTGGTATTAGGGTATGCTTGCTTAATAATGACTCTGGAAGACACTAAATTAATTTTAATACTATATTAGAGTTATGTTGTTGTTATGTGCCATCGAGTTGTTTGCGACTCATAGCGACCCTATGCACAACAGCCCTAAACCCTGCTCTATCCTGCGCCAACCGCACCACCTCTGACACACCCATCCCGATTACCCCAGTCACTGAATCAATCCATCTCATAGAGGGTCTTCCCCTCCTGCGCTGTCCCTCCACCCTCCCAAGCATGATGTCCCTCTCCAAGGACCCGTCCCTCCTGGCAACATGTCCAAAGTATGTCACACGAAGCCACAGAATCCTTGCCTCCAAGGAGTAGCTTGGTTTAATCCTCTCCAAGATGAATCTGTTTGTTTTCCTGGCAGTCCATGGTACATTCAGTACTCTTCTCCAGCACCACAGCTCAAAAGCATCAACTCTCCTTCTATCCTCCCTAGTCATTGTCCAACTCTCTGATGCATAACAAGAGATTGCAAAGACCATGGCCTGTATCAGGTGCACCTTAGTCTCCAGAGAGACACCGTTGCTCCTGAGTACTTTAGAGAGGTCCCTAACCACAGACTTTCCCATCGCGATATGCTTTTTGATTTCCTGACTGCTGGTGCCAAGAGTGTTGACTGTGGAGCCGAGCAAACTGAAGCTGTGAACAATCTCAAACTCTTCGCCATCCATCCTGACGCTGCCAATTGGTCCAGTGGTGAGAATCTTTGTCTTCTTGACATTGAGCCTCAGTCCATACTGAAGGTTGCAGTCCTTGACCCTTCGAAGCAAGTGCATGAGGTCCTCAGTTTCAGCAAGCAGGGTTATGTCATCTGCATAATGGAGATTGTTAATAGATCTTCCACCAATCCTGATGCCACAATTTTCTTCATAGAGCCCAGCCTCTCGGATAATCTGCTCTGCATACATGTTGAAAAGGTATGGAGACAGGATGCATCCCTGGTGTACACCCTTACCAATTTTGAACCATGCAGTGTTACCCTGCTCTGTTCTGACTACTGCCTCTTGGTCCAAGTATAGGTTTCGCACTAGCACAATTAAATGTTCTGGGATTACCATTCTTCTCAGAGTCAGCCACAGTTTGTTATTATCCACACAGTCAAATGCCTTTGCATAATCAATGAAACACAGATAGACATTCTTCTGGTATTCTCTGCTTTCAGCCAAGATCCATCTAATATCAGCAACAATATCCCTAGTACCACGACCCCTTCTAAACCCAGCCTGGACTTCCGGCAGTTCTCTGATGATGTGCTGTTCTAATCCTTTTTGGATAACCTTCAGTAGAATCTTGCTTGCATGTGAAATCAATGACACTGTTCTGTAGTTTCCACACTCAGTTGGGTCACCTTTCTTTGGAATGGGAACAAATATAGATCTCTTCCAGTCAGTTGGCCAAGTGGTTGTTCTCCACATTTCTTGGCACAACTTGGTAAGCACATCCAGGGCAACATCTGTTTTCTGAAATACTTCAATTGGTATACCATCTATTCCTGGGGCCTTATTTTTTGCTATTTCCTTGAACTTCTTCCTTCATCACCATAGGCTCTTGCTCATATGCTATTTCATTAAATTATATTCTTCAATAAAAAAAGTTATACTGCTGATGATAAAAATATTGTTAAACTATGTTATTTAGGTTAGTATATTCTTGTAGGTCATCCAATAGACTGTGGAAATTAACAAAAAATATCATTGATTATCACATTTAAGCAAGATTCTGCTGAATATTATCCAAAAATGACTGGAGCAGCATATCAATGGAGAACTATCAAAAGTGCAGACTGGGTTTAGAAGGGGTTGTGGTTCTAGGGATTTTATAGCTAATGTTAGATGGATCATGGATGAAAGCAGGGAGTACCAGGAATGTCTACCTGTGTTTCATTGATTATGCAAAGGCATTTGATTGTGTGGATCACAACAAACTGTGGCTGACTCTGAGAAGAATGGGAATCTCAGAACACTTGATTGTGCTAATGCAAAACCTATAATTGGACCAGGATGCAGTCGTCAGAACAGAGCAAGGAAACACTGCATGGTTCAAAATCGGGAAGGATGTACACCAAGGATATGTCCTACCTCCATACCTTTTCAATTTATAGGCAGAACAGATTATACAGGAGGCTGCGTCTGTATGAGGAGAAGTGTGGCATCAGGATGAGAAGAAGATTCATCAACAATCTACGTTATGCAGATGACACACCCCTGCTTGCTGAACCTGAGGAGGACCTGAAGCGCTTGCTACAGAAGGTCAAAGGACTACAGCTCCTTTGGATTGAGGCTCAATATCAAGAAGACAAAAATTCTCAACCACAGGGTTAATTGGCAGCATTAGTAATGGATGGTGAAGAGATTGAGATTGTTAACAGCTTTAGTTTGCGTGGCTCCACAGTCAATATTCTTGGAACCAGCAGCCAGGAAATTAAAAGACGTATTGTGATGGGAAAGGCTGCTGTTAAAAAGTGTGCTCTCCAAAGTACTGAAGAGCAATGGTATCACCCTGGAGACAAAGGTGCTCCTGATACGGGCCAGGGTCTTTGCAGTCACTTGCTATGCGTCACAGAGCTGGACAGTAACAAGGGAGGATAGAAGGATAATGAAGCCTAAGCTGTGGGGTTGGAAAAGAGTATTGAATATACTATGGACTACTAAAAAAATGAACAGGGTCATCCTCGAGATGGTTAAAGCAGGCTGCTCCTTGAAAGTAAGAATTCTGAAGCTTCATCTGACATACTTTGGACATGTTGCAAGGAGGGATCAGTCCTTAGAGAGGAACATCATGCTTGGGAGGGTGGAGGGACAGCGCAGGAGAGCAAGACCCTGAGGTGGATTGATTCAATGACTGGGGTAATCAGGGTGGGTGCGTTGGAGACAGTGAGATTGGCACAGGATAGAACAGGGTTTAGGGTTGCTATGAGTCGCAGGCGACGCGACAGCATATAACAGCAACAACAACAACAACATTCTTATAGGACTTTTTCTTAGTTGATTCCAAAATGGTTCTTCAAGTCTAAAATAGGCCACCTTTATAAAGACATAATTACTTATTGATAGGACATCTTTCAAGGTTTTGTGCAATATCCAAAACTGTGGTTTGAGAACAATTAAAACACCATTTTAAACTACTAGTTTTGAACTGAATAATCTGCTGATATCTCATATCACGTAGTATTTCTTTTTAGAGAGAGAAAAACTAAATCCCTTCCTCTAGAACCTCACAGCAGTAAATCAATTTTGCAACAAATATTGAGAATACAATAGCATTAGATATAGAATAAAAACAGAAGATTCAGATCTTGTTCAAAAGATGATCATTGTATATGGGGAGAAAATTGGCACAATTATGATCAAATGTAATACATTACATGCTAGAGGTAGGCTATGAAGACACGTCAGAGTAACATTCAATCCACTCTTTTTGGGAGTATGTATTTGCATGGATTTGGGATAGAAAGATCAAAAATGGCTTCTCAGAAGAAGTGATTTTTCAGAATGATAAACAAAAATGGAAGTCATTCAAAGCTGAATGATAATGAAAATACAGACAGCCTGGAGAATGAATATTTTAATTAAAATAGATAGAGTTAAAGATGAGAGTGGCCAGAGAGCAAGAACTAATTACTGATTACCTCTAAGGTCAGCTCATCAGGGGCCCGAGCAGTATACCTCTTGATAACGTGGGCAGCACCAACAGCAGGCGTGTTGATGGATGATTCCTCATGAACTAGGAGGTGATTCCCCTTATTGTCAATCTGTGATAAAAATATGCACCATGAAATGCTCAAAACATGGACTGCAGTTTTCTCTTGTTATAAATGTTCAAATTGATTTAGGAGTAATTAACTTCAAAACAGAACAAAAAACTACTGTTGAGTGCTTAAAATATACCAGTCATTGCACTATACATGCGGCTATATGATTTCATGTAATCTTCATAATATTAAAGTCTAATTATTATCAATGATTTTACTGTAGCCTTAACTCCATGGATCCCATCAATTCTGTGCCCTGGTGCCTGGCAACACCTGGACACCATCTCATAACACTTCAGGAAAACACAAATTTCAGATGGTTCCACAATTTTCACTTTTGTAGCAGGTTGTGACTTATGTTTGTTTTTTTTAATTTTTTTATACTTGTATTCCTAAAAAAAGTGCTCCAACAGAATGTGGAAATTATTGAACAATATCATTCATACTACGTGCAAGCAAAATCTTGTTGATGAGTAAAAATATCTAGAACAATAAATCAACAGAGAATTGCCAAAAATTTAAGCCAAATTTAGAAGAGACCATGGCCACTCAAAGACATCAATGCTGATGTTTAGTTGGCAGAAATCAGAGAATACCAGAAGGATCTCTATCTGTGTTTTGAATATTCAAAGGCATTTTACTGTGTCTATCATAATAAATTATGGCTAATGTTAAGCAGAACGGGAATCCTAGAACACATAATTATGCTCTTCTGAAACTTATACCCAGATCAAAGCACAGCTGTCAAAACAGAGCAAGTGAAGAATGCATATTTTAAAATCAAGAGAGGTGTGTGTCAGGGTTGTATCTTTTCTGCATACCTATTCAATCTGTACGCTGAACAAATCACTCAAGAAGGTGGACTTATGAAAAAATGTGGCACCAAATTTGGAGGAAAAGTCATCAACAACCTACCCTATATAGAGGATACAACTCTGCTTGCTGAAAGTGAGGAGGACTCAAAGACCTTGCTGCAGAAAATCAAGGACTACAGCTTTCAATATGGATTACATTTCAACATCAAGAAAACAAAAAATCTTCACCACTGGGCCAAAAGACAATATTATGATAGATGGCAAGAAGACTGAAGCTGTTACTAATTTAATCTTAACTTGGATCCATACCTTTGGTATCAGCAGTCAAAAATTCAAAAGACATATTGCATTGAGAAAGTCGGCTGGCAGTGATCCCCAGAATGCTGAAGAGCAACAATGTAAATTGAAAGGCTTAACGTGCCCCATCAACAAATGAATGGATAGAGAAGCTATGGTATGTTCACACAATGGAATACTATGCTGCATTGAAAAACAAGGAACTCATACAATACTATTCAAAATGGGTGAATCTGAAGAACAATATGTTGAGTGAAGTATCCCAGTCACAAAAGGACAAATATTGCATGGTACCACTGTTCTAAAACAGGACTGACCTTGGGGTTGGGAAGAGACTGAGAAAGATGGGTTCAATAATGTATAGTGCACTGAAACAGATGAGGGAGAAAACTGTTTAAAAGGGAGATGTGATTAGGTATTTCTGTCATGACAGGAGTCTAGAGCAATGGCTACATGCTGGAGTACACCTGAATTTTTCTTTTACTTTTCCAGGAGGGTAGTGTTCTGGGCAGGAGGGTTGGGAGGGGAGAAATGTGCAACAATGAATGAATGGAAATCCAAAGTCTCTGTAAATTTTTAGAAAATTTAATAAAAAATTCAAATTTTAAAAAGTTTAAGTTAGAATAAGGAAGGCAATGGATTTATAACTGCTCATGCTAATAACACTGTATCATGGCATGCAGGAGGAATAGTGGAACTATACCCACATTTACAATATTCTTCTTACCAAAACCATTTATGGAAAATAGGAACTGCATTGGAACACGTATCTCTGGACTGGAAATGATCATACTGTTAATATTTCTAGCCTTAAACTTAAAAGATTAAATTGTTCAAAATTATTTGTTATATGTTTAAATTTTCCCTCTTTTAACAACTGGGATCTAGAGGGAGGAGAAAAGACCAGAAAAAGGCCAAAATTATTGGGACAGCTATTGTTGCCAGTTTAGGGTCTGTCAGAAAAAGGAAGTCTTACTCATAAACAATGCCACCCAAAGGTAATAGAGGAGGTCAGAATTGCTTCCACTGTGGAAAGCTGGGCCACTTCAGTAGACAGAGTCACAGACATGAGCCACAGACAGGCAAGGGAGTAGAGAGGAAGCTCCCACTCACTTGCTTTAAGTGTGGACATTAATATGAAGGACACATGGCCAAGGATGGCCCACAGGTCCTTGTGGCTGACAGGACTGACAGGCCCCAGCTCCCAGCTGGAAACAAAGGAAGACGCTTCAATGATTTAGATTCCCCCAGAAGAGGCGCGGGTGAGCATAAACATTACTGGTAAGTATATTAATTTTTCTCCTGGACACAAGAACCTATTATTTGGTCCTAAAAGCCTTCTGACGTCCCAACTCTTCGCACTATTTCTTAGTTGTTGGAACTGACGGAAAACCTCATAAGCACCTCCTTACTTCACCTCTGCCTTGCACGCGGTCTTCCGAGTTGTAAAACAACCCAGTGGTAGATGGAACTTGGTCCAGGACTTAAGAACAATAAACAACGTAGTTGAGCCTCTACATCTTGTTGTTGCTAACCTTTATATTATAATAGACAAAGTGCTAGTCAATAAGCCTTTTATTTTAAGAACTACCTTCCCTCGGTAATTTGATTTGTGCCACTGTTGGAACCTCTACTTGGAATATTATTGCTTTTAATTTTGGAACATTGCATGGTTCAAAATTGGGAAGGGCATATGCCAGGGATGCATCCTATCTCCATACCTTTTCAACCTATATGCAGAACAGATTATCCGG